ATTGCCTGCAGGTCATGGGTCCGAGCATGAGGAGGGGAGACAGAACGATTTCACAGACCACCCCCCAACTCCTGTGGAGGCCAAGTTCCCTTTCAGCCTGGCCACAGTCTCTCCCCCAGGGCTTCCTGTTGGGGTGTCCTAGGCCCCACCCCAGAGCTGGGCACTTCGCTCCCTGACACAGGGACCCAGACCTGCTCTACCCTGCCAGAGGCAGCAATGGTGGTCCTGCTGCTGCTGCCTCTACTGTTGGGGGGTGAATGTCTAGGTAGGGGGGCAGGGCAGGTGGGGGAGGGGCGAGGGCAGCATCAGAGCCTCAATCCCTATCCCCCAGGATCCCTGCAGCAGCAGCATCCAGGCTATGAGATCCAAGTGCAGGAATCGGTGACGGTGCAGGAGGGTCTGTGTGTCCATGTGCCCTGCTCCTTCTCCTACCCGTGGAGTCCGTGGTCTTCCTCTAGCGAACTCTACACCTACTGGTACCGGGACGGGGACAACACAGCCTATTCTGCTCCTGTGGCCTCGAGCAACCGGAATAAAACAGTGAGGACAGAGACCCAAGGCCGCTTCCTCCTCGCGGACCCCATGACCAACAACTGTTCCCTGCAAATCAGAGACGCCAGGAGGAGTGACAGAGGACGCTACTTCTTCCGTGTGGAGAGAGGAGATTCTGTGAGATATAATTACATAATGAAGAAGCTGCATTTGCAGGTGACAGGTAAGGCCTGGGCCCCAGAGAGGACCCAGGGACATGGGACCCCGTCTTAGAGCAGGAACAGGACACTGGACACTCCCTGTCCAGGCCGTGGGCCCTGGGTGGTGGGAAGAGACACAGGGCCTGGGTGAGCTCAGCCCGAGGCAGGGCCTCTCTCAGGGTCCCGCTCTGAGTCCCCACCCCTGGAGCCCAGGCACCTGCCTTTCTCCCCCCGCAGCCCTGACAGAGAAACCCCACATCCGTGTACGGGAGCCTCTGGAGTCCGGCCGCCCCACACAGCTGGCCTGCAGTCTGCCAGGGGCCTGTGAAGGGGGACGACGTTTCACCTTCTCCTGGGCGGGAGCTGCTGTGGACTCGCTGGACCCCCAGACCCTCCGCTCCTCGGTGCTCACCTTCACCCCGAGGCCCCGGGACCATGGCACCAACCTCACCTGTCAGGTGAAACGGGAAGGGTCCCAGTGGACCACACAGAGAACCATCCGGCTCAATGTGTCCTGTGAGTGTTGCAGGAGTGGCTGGGTCCCTAGAGGTAGTGGGACTGGTGTGTGTGCGTGTGTGTGTGTGTGTGTGTGTGTGTGTGTGTAGGAGGCTGATATAACCTGAGAACACTCATGCATGGATCTGCGTGTAGGTGGGGAGTGTCCCCACCGCCCCTCCTTGGGATTGGGGTGACTTCCATCTGAAGTGGGGCCGTGTCTTTCTATCCCAGATGCCCCAGGAAACCCCACCATAGGCGTCTCCTTCATAAATGCCACAGGTAGGAAAGAACCCCTCCTCTCTGGGGCTGGGACCTGCCCTGGGCGCTGGTGGGGCAGCGGGGGGGGAGGGGGGAGCAGGAGTTTGAATGGGATGAGACATGGGAAGGGCAGGGATGAAAGTCATCACCCCAGTTCCTCACCTCTGGTGGGTGGGTGCCTGCCTGCATCTGTGTTCCACACACACACACCTCTCTCTCTCTCTCTCTCTCTCTCTCTCTCTCTCTCTCTCTCTCTCTCTGTCTCTCTCTCTCCCTGCCTATCCCCCACTTCTTTCTCCAAAGCCCTCAAGATTCTGCAAACCACATCCCTTTCCATCCTGGAGGTAGAGGCGATGAGGCTGATCTGTGAGGCTGACAGCAACCCCCCTGCTGAGCTGAGCTGGTTCCAGGGGTCCCCAGGCCGGAACGCCACCCCCATCTCCAGCACCGCGATCCTGGAGCTGCCTCGCGTGGGGCCTGCACAGGAAGGAGAGTTCACCTGCCGGGCTCAGCACCCGCTGGGCTCCCAGCACGTCTCCTTCAGCCTCTCTGTGCAGAGTGAGTCGCAGGACTGGTGTGGGGGCGGCCACCTGGTCAGGTGTTGGTCTGTGGGTGGACTGACACCTGGACAACACGTCACCCTTCTCCTGCGTCCCCAGGCAGCCCTCCCTGCAGATGTGTGACTGAGGAGCAGCAGGGCTCCTGGCCCCTGGTCCTCACCCTGATCAGAGGGGCCCTCATGGGGGCTGGCTTCCTCCTCACCTACGTCCTCACCTGGCTCTACTACACCAGGTGAGCAGGCCTGTCTCTCTCGGGGAAGGTTAGGGATTGGCTCTGAGGTGCAGGTGGGGCCAAGCTGTCCGGCTCTGCCTGGAGTTAGAGCCAAAGTGGCCGAGTCTCTGAGCTGACACCTGTGTGGGCCCCACAGGTGTGGAGGCCCCCGGAACAGGAGGCAGAGCTCCTGATGGATCCCCCCTTCCTCTCAAGATGGGACTGAGGTGTGGACACCAGGCTACAGGGACCGTCCTGGGACGTCCATGTCACCATCTCCCTGGAAGCTCTTGACTCACCTGCCTCCAATGTGCCCCTGGATTTCAGTGTGTGGAAGTGACTGAGTGACCACAGGGGAGTCAATGCCATGGAGAGAAGACTTTTACTCCTTTCACCTCCTGAGAGGAGGGGCCGCTGTGCCCGGAAGCCCCGGATTTCCTCAGAAAGCAGATGTAGGTGCAGGGCAGCCTAGCGAAGGCCTTGATTGGGTTCCCATGGGAAACACAAGGCAGGGCAGGGTGAGCAGTTCAGGACCAGCTGGTGTGTGTCAGTCTGGGGGATGGGCCTGTGGGCGTGGTCTCTATGTGTCTGGTCCCAGGTCCTGGGTCATTTGGGGCAGGTGGGGAGGCTGGGAATATGGGCTCAGGTTGGGTTGGTTTGCATCTGAAATTCTTTGCTGTCCCAGAGAATGGGCGGGACCTGGGAGGCCCTGTGTCTCCTTGGCTTTCAATCTGTTTAATGGCTCAAAACATCATGAGATACAGAAATAAACAATAATACACACCCTCTGACCACCCCTTGTTTCTGCCTGTGCTTCTCCCATTTGACTTGTTCCCCCCCCCACCACCACTCTTTCTTTCTCTCTGTTCCTTCTGCCCACTCATCCCCCACCCCCTGCTCCTCTCTCTCCATTCTCAGCCCAGAGACAGACTGAAGTTGGCACCTTATCCTCCCCTTGCCCAGGAGTTACCTGGTCACCACCTGAGCTTCTGGTCTCCCATGTGTAGGTGCTGATACACAGTAGAGTTAGGAGCAGCTCTTCTCTCCCTGTGCATAGACGCCAACCTCAGAATTATTGTCATAACACATCCCAGCATTTAATCATAAAGGAGAACATTTCTGTGACATCACATGACTATTGATTTTACTATTTAGTTTCGGTGGGAGTTTCTTGAGTCCAGTTATATCTGGATCTCCTCTTTTTGTTGTTGCTGTTGTTGAAGCTGTTTCAAGTAAGGGATTTTGTTTATTCCTTGTAATTATTCTTCAATCAGTATTTATATCTCTTCTTATTTTCTAAAATATTTTTATTGATTTCTGAGAGGAATTTGGAGGGAGAGAAGGCGATAGAAATATCAACGATGAGAGAGTCATTGATCGCCTGTTTCCTCCACGTCCCCTACTGGGGATGAAGCCCGTCACCCAGGCATGTACCCTGACCGGAAGTCGAACCCTGACTTCTTGGTTCATAGATTGATGATCAACCTCTATGCCACAACGGCTGGACTATATCTATTCTTTTTTTTTTAATATATTTTATTGATTTTTTACAGAGAGGAAGGGAGAGAGATAGAGAGTTAGAAACATCGATGAGAGAGAAACATCGATCAGCCGCCTCCTGCACATCTCCTACTGGGGATGTGCCCGCAACCCAGGTACATGCCCTTGACCGGAATCGAACCTGGGACCTTTCAGTCCGCAGGCCGACGCTCTATCCACTGAGCCAAACCGGTTTCGGCTATATCTATTCTTGAATAATAAAAAATTTCCACATTTAAGACACATCCACCTATACTCTCACCATTTTGTATTGTTATTGTCATAGAGCTTACAGCTATAAATTTGATAAACTTTAGAGAACATTAATAATTGCTTGGATGTAAACAATTATTTTATTTCCAGATTAATTGAGATTTTTTTACATAGAGTGCATGCAAGCTTAAGGTATGCAATGTGCATATTTGATGCACCTACATAGAGAAGTGATTACCACAATAAGGTTCATCAACACTTCCATCCTCTCATGTAATTACCATTGTTATGGTTATAACACTGATGATGTATAACAATAGCAACTTTCAGGGATAGAATACAATCCTGTTAATTGTACTTGCCATGCTGTCCAGTACGTCCCCAGGAATTGTTCCTCTAGTAGCTGCAAGTTACCCTTGACCAACATCTCCCCATTTCCCCACCCCCAGCCCCTGCATCACTGTTCTACTCTCTTTCTGTGAGTTCAGCGTCTTCAGACCCCACTGTGAGAACACACTGCAGGAAAACAAGGACTATTTTGAAAAATACCCCTCACAGTTGTTCCTCTCATGCAGTTCTGGGTTTCCATCATAGAATCATTCTCCTCTATGCAAAAATGTATTAAAGACCTAAATATAATACCAACCACTATAAACTCCTAGAGGGAAACATAGGGGGAAATCCCAGGACATTGGGTTTTGCAATGATTTCCTGTATATTGACATCGAAAGCACAGACAAGGGAAGCAAACAGAGACAAGTGGGACTGTACCAACTTCAAAACCTGAGCACAAAAGTACGCTCTCACCAGACTCCAGAGGCCACCTACAGGATGGGAGAGAAGATGTATCTGATGAGGAGTTAATATCCAGCATCTATTACAAACTCACACAAGACAACATAAGAAACCCAAATAACACAATTGAAGAAATGGCTAAAACCTTGACTAGACATTTCTCCAAAGATGATGTACAAATGGCCAACAAAGTCATGAAAAGAGACCCAACATCAGCAATCCTACAGAACCATGAAAGAACTCCTTAGGCCTGTGGGGGTTTTGCTTGGTGCATCAGGGCATTAATATTCAAAACCCCACATGAGATTTCTACACGGACAAGGAAGGTAAGGGGAAGGCGCATAGTAGGCCCGCGATACAGAAAGTGATGGGGGAAGTGTAGTGATAAGCAGCTCCAAAAGTCACACACCCAAAGGTAGCATTAGAAATTTTATGTCATGTGAGTCTCACGTCCATAAAAGTTTCTCATTAGTTTATTTGGAAATTGCACACACACACGCGCTCGCGCGCGCGCACAAACACACATGCATATACACACACAGAGTTCTCTCTCTGGGATGAATTCTGTGGCCCCTCTTGAGTGTGAAAATGGTTGCTTCCTTTACCCAGTTCTTTGGTGTGGGTTGCTTTAGGATGGGCTTTGTGCTCTGAGGTGAGTCAGCCTGGCCCCTTCTCTGTCCCTGAGGCCCATCTTACCTGTCACAGCTTACGGGGAAATTTCATCTTCTGCATTTCTGTCTATACCTTGTAGCTGAGAGAGAGAGAGAGAGAGAGAGAGAGAGAGAGAGAGAGAGGGAGAGAGAGAGAGAGAGAGAGAGAGAGAGAGAAACATAAATCGGTTGCCTCCCATACTTGGTCTGAGCTGGTATGGAAACAAGGTATGTGCCCTGACCTGGAATTGAACCTGCAACCAATGTGCTGTAGGGAGGATGCTTCCACCAACAGAGCCATCCGGCCAGGGCTATCTATTTCCACCTGTAAACTCCTCCCAAACAGATGTACCATTTCCTCCACTGAGGACGTGCATAGTAGATATTTGTGATGTGCATCTCTGATTATTCCAGGAACATCGCAAGTTTTGATATGTCCATGACATCTTTTATACCATCCTGTTTTTCGTTGGTCACTGTGCTATACGGATGCATTTGAGTTTTGTAATTTGATTTTGTCTCTAGAAACCTTGCTGACTCTGTTCTCAAGCCTCTACATGTGCATCTGTATGTACTTGTGGATTTTCCTATATAGACACAATCCTTGATGGAGAAAGGCAGCTTGATTTTCTTTGGAATTTCATAGCTTTTGCTTATTGTTCTTGCCTTGCTGGACTCGGACCCGGTGCTGCTGTGTTAGGTGTGGGGCTTGCTGAGCTCACCCTCTATCCCGCCAGGGGAGCCTCCTGCATCCCTAGCTGACTGTGATGTTATCCTGAAGGCCTTTGACATCCCCCCGCGCTCACTGGTTCCTCCCTTGAGATTCCATCAGTCAAGGGCAGCGAGGCACACAGAAGCCCCACTATGTGCTCCAGCAGCGGGAATGGAATGTCAGGGTTTGTGATGCCCGGGTTGGGACACAGATGGAGCAGAAAGGAATCCCTTCCCATCAGCCTGGGTGGGGCTCTGAACAGGGACCCAGCAATGAGGGGCCAGGAAGGTGGATTTTCATGAACTTTCAGGCGGCAACGATGCTGCTGTGCTGAGGTCCCGCCAAATCGGGCGTCCGTTTCCGATAGGGCTTGTGGGCCCTCGCTGTAACTCAGACACTCAGACCCTCGAGCTAACACAGGTGTGTCCCACGTCCCCAAGAAGCCCTCAGAGCCAAGGCCTTTACCACTCAGCTCTGCCCCTGGGTTCCACCCTCCACTGGACTTGGGTCTAAATTCCTCTCTCTTTTACTCTCACTTGGTCTAAAAAAATATTAAAATGATCTTTTTCCAGAATGTTCAACAGTTCCAGCTGGAGGGCTGGTCCCCCTGAGTCCCCAGGACCAGCTCTGAGTGTGCTGGCCCCTGGGCGACTTCCGTCCCCACTTACACATCCTCTGTAACTGGGTCACTTTCTGGACAATCCATTCAGCCTCCCAGGGTCTCAGGACATTTGCCTGCGGCGTCATGGGGGGGGGGGCGGGGGAGGGGAGACAGAAAGATTTCTCAGGCACCACCCCCAACTCCTGTGGAGACCAAGTTCCCCTTCCAGCCTGGCCCCAGTCTCTCCCCCAGGGCTTCCTGTTGGGGTGTCCTAGGCCACACCCCAGAGCTGGGCACTTCGCTCCCTGACACAGGGACCAGGACCCACTCTGCCCTGCCAGAGGCAGACATGGTGCCCCTTCTGCTGCTGTCCCTACTCTGGGGGGGGTGAGTTGCTGAGAGAGGGGGCAGGGCAGTAGGGGGAGGAGTGGGAGTTGCATCTGAGCTTCTGTGTCCCCCTCCCCCAGGGTCCCTGCAGCAGCAGCATCCAGGCTATGAGCTCCGAGTGCAGCAATCGGTGAAGGTGCAGGAGGGTCTGTGTGTCCACGTGCCCTGCTCCTTCTCCTACCCGTGGAGTTTGTGGTCTTCCTCTAGTGAACTCTACACCTACTGGTACCGGGACGGGGACAACACAAACTCTGCTCCTCCTGTGGCTTCGACCAACCAGAATAAAAAAGTGAGGGGAGAGACCCAAGGCCGATTCCTCCTTGTGGACCCCAGGACCAACAACTGTTCCCTGGACATCAGAGACTCCAGGAGGAGTGACACAGGACGCTACTTCTTCCGAGTGGAGAGAGGGAATTCTGTAAAATATAATTATGTAATGAAGAAGCTGCATTTGATGGTGACAGGTACAGCAGGGGCCTGGGAGAGGACCCAGGGACATGGGACCCCGTCTTAGAGCAGGA